TGTCACTAATGCAGTATCCCAGTCTGTTTTCCCAGTCTCCCTAGTCACCACTAGTCTCCGGACTGTTTCCCCGTTCATCCCTGTCTCCGCAAAACCCTCTAAACCTTCTTCCTCTAAGTCTTCTCCTCGTGTGTCTCCCTCCAAGCCTGCCCAGAGCCCTCGTCCCCAGTCCTCATCCCGTGGACCAAGGGTCCCTTGCACGTCAACCCACCCTGAACCATCCCTCACGAACTCTGGTACACCTCCTACGAACTCTGTGTTTCCTCCACCTCCTCTGCCTTGTATGTTTTTTTGATGTTTCATCCTAACCCTGTTAGTTTATTCATGTATGCCGTTGTTAATGTTTGCCATGTTTTGTTGGTTTTTGTCTTTTTATCGGTCTGTCTTGTCTTGTGCTTAGTTTCCCTTTTAGGAACATCTGGAAGCCGTTCCTTAAGGCGGGGGTTCTGTTATGATTCTGCCCTTGTGTCTTTGATACTTCTCTTGTCTTATACCGAGTTCAGACTGCACGATTTTAGCCCCGATTTTGGCTCGCCGACAGGTTTTGAGAAATCGCAGACAAATGCCCGAAATCACAGGCAAATCGGTGCTCGTTCACGCGAGTGACAATCACGCAGTGTGAATGAGCAAAGACGCGATCTGAGAGAATCGCCGACGACCTGTCGGCGATTCACAATCCTGCTGTGTGAATGTGTTCTGACTGAAAACTACATCGGCGATGACCGACAGCCAATGAGAGAGCAAGATACAGGGAGGAGGAGGAGTTATAGACCAGAATATCAGTATTTTAATAGATAGGCCTATATTTACAATTATATCAAACAGAAACAAAGCACAAACATTTGCATGACCAGCAGCAACAGCAGGACATTTGCAAAATTATTTATTTACCCCCAACTCTCTTTGCAAAACACAGTCCTTGCTCCCCTCGTCTTCCCAACCATTTCCTGCATAAACTGTTTATTTTATTTTTTCATTTTCGCTACAAATCAGTGCACAGACAATTTGTAGGCTATCATTTTTAATAACAAATTCAGTGTCGCGCGAGAACTCCGGTCTCACGCACACGTGATCTTGCGTTATTTCCTATCACTTCTTGCGTTTGTTTGGTTGTGAAACGTAGTTTGCGGACCAGGCAGAAGTTGTCGGCGATTCTTTCTTTTGTAAAGTCATGCAGTGTGAAACCTCCTGTCGCCGATCCATCGTGCAGTGTGAACACAGCAGCAACTGAATGTTACCCCAGATAGTCATGCAGTGTGAAAACAACAGTGACCCGATTATTTTGAAAATCGTGCAGTCTGAACTCAGCATTAGGGTAGGATCATAACAGACTCATGTTTAGTGTGCAAGCGCGTGGCTCTTCGGGCCATGTGCTTGTGTTGTCTCGTTACCTTGCCCCGCCCCGCCCCCTTGTTATCCTCGTTTTGTCATTATTGCTTTACCAGTGTCACCTGCTGCCATTATTAGTTTCTCCCTATTTAATCCCCTTGTGTTTGCTGTCCTGTGCCGGTTCATTGTCACACTTGTGTGAATCAAGCCGTGAGTAACTTGTTGAAAGTCTTGTCTAAAAGAAGTGTTTGATCCTGTCTTAGTTGTTAGTTTATTGTCTGAGTCTTAGTCTAGTGTAGTCTACCCTGTCTTGTTTTGCCCCCTCGTGGGTTTTGTTTTCTGTTTTTGTCGTTAATAAACCCACAGCAGCAACTGAATGTTACCCCAGATAGTCATGCAGTGTGAAAACAACAGTGACCCGATTATTTTGAAAATCGTGCAGTCTGAACTCAGCATTAGGGTAGGATCATAACAGACTCATGTTAAGTGTGCAAGCGCGTGGCTCTTCGGGCCATGTGCTTGTGTTGTCTCGTTACCTTGCCCCGCCCCGCCCCGCCCCCTTGTTATCCTCGTTTTGTCATTATTGCTTTACCAGTGTCACCTGCTGCCATTATTAGTTTCTCCCTATTTAATCCCCTTGTGTTTGCTGTCCTGTGCCGGTTCATTGTCACACTTGTGTGAATCAAGCCGTGAGTAACTTGTTGAAAGTCTTGTCTAAAAGAAGTGTTTGATCCTGTCTTAGTTGTTAGTTTATTGTCTGAGTCAGGGGCGTCAGTTTGTGTTGAAAAGTGGTGGGGACAAAAGATCAGATGAAAAAAACATACAACAATATAAAAAAACAACAATATCGGCACGCGTTATTCGTCAGCGTTTTTCAACGTGTTTTTTTGTGTTCACACCCAAGCGGTTTTCGCTGACGATGAGCCGAGTGAACATGCAAATTCATTCCCTGACATTAGATGGCGCCCATTTGCTCTGCAATACCACTCCATAACATTCTCTTTTATCAAGATTTGTGTAGTCGCTGTCGCGTTTTTCATATAGTTCTTTATGTTCCGACACCAACGAGACCAGCAGCTCTACATTCATCTGGCCTTGCATCTTCCTCGTCTTATTTCTTCCCGGCAGTCTAGACGCTACTTGGCGTATATCTTCTTCGCCGTTACGTATGTGTGCTAGGCAAGACCGTTTTGTGTTTGAGCGCCCCCAAGCTGTGTTTTACTGTAACTTCAGAAGTTTTTAGTTTTGACACGGCGCGTCAAACTAAAAAAACGAACCCGAGGCATTTTTTGAAAAATGACGCTTTTACGCGTGGTGTTTTTCGCGTCGGTGTGCAAACTCACATTGGCGCCCTTTGTTTAGTCACGAGGCGTTAAACGTCAGCGAATAAAGGCCTGTTCACACCGGGACAAATTTCGCGCGCGATATTCGCCGACGTTTAACGCCTCGTGACTAAACAAAGGGCGCCTACGTGAGTGTGCACACCGACGCGAAAAACACCACGCGTAAAAGCGTCATTTTTCAAAAAATGCCTCGGGTTCGTTTTTTTAGTTTGACGCGCCGCGTCAAAAACTATCCGACCAATGAGATTGGCGCTTTTGCTCGCGTGTCTGGAGCTTCTGAAGTTACAGTAAAACACAGCTTGGGCGCGCTCAAACACAAACCGGTCTTGCCGAGCACACATACGTAACGGCGAAGAAGATATACGCCAAGTAGCGTCTACACACCATAGATATCCATAATAAAGGCTAGATATCTTGTCCGCGCTGCTGGCCAATGGCCTTTATTATGAATATCTATGGTCTACACTGCCGGGAAGAAATAAGACGAGGAAGATGCAAGGCCAGATGAATGTAGAGCTGCTGGTCTCGTTGGTGTCGGAACATAAAGAACTATATGACAAACGCGACAGCGACTACACAAATCTTGATAAAAGAGAACTGTTATGGAGTGATATTGCAGAGCAAATGGGCGCCATCTAATGTCAGGGAATTTTTTGCATGTTCACTCGGCTCATCGTCAGCGAAAATCGCTTGGGTGTGAACACAAAAAACACGTTGAAAAACGCTGACGAATAACGCGCGCCGATATTCGTCCCGGTGTGTACGAGCCTTAACGCGCGCGAAATTCGTCCCGGTGTGAACAGGCCTTTAAACGTCGGTCCCGGTGTGAACAGGCCTTAAAACCCTCAACAATGTCGACTGCACATGTAACTGTACCTGCACCACACTACAGGGCTCGACATTAACGCTTGTCCGCTTGTCCGGGACAAGTGGATTTTTTGAAGGGACAAGTAAAAGAGAATTTTACTTGCCCAACCGGACAAGTAGCCTCCACAGGCTGCGTGCTCATTTGTCCCCGGGGGACACCACACACGAGGAGAAATGGGACCAAAATAATCCAACGTGTTGGATATCCCCGATTAGAGATCTGAGCGGTCCCGGCATCCTTCCGAGCAGACGAGAGGAGTCTTAACACACCACACACGGCAGGAATATCTGATCAGATTATTTTACGATAATCAGAGCATCCTTAAGATTGTCGGAAGGGGTAAATCGGGGCTAAAATCGGCCTAATTATCCTGCCGTGTAAACCAGGCTTTACTGATCGGCACATGCATGTTTTTGGGTCATTTTAGAATCAGTAATAGTTTATTTTGTTTAAGTTACTTTTTTGGATAATGTGCATTGTTTCTTTCTGTCTCTAAACTGCATTGCATGCTTTATTTTGTGCAAGTAAACCTTTAACATTTCTTGGTCCGCTTGATTTTTCAGAACATTTTAACCAAATGCTTTCAAAAAGTGGTGGGGACAAAATCAGCCATTTCAAAAAGTGGTGGGGACATGTCCCCAGCGTCCCCAGTGTAAATGACACCTATGGTCTGAGTCTTAGTCTAGTGTAGTCTACCCTGTCTTGTTTTGCCCCCTCGTGGGTTTTGTTTTCTGTTTTTGTCGTTAATAAACCCTGTGTGAATTATTTGCTGTCTGCGATTGGGTTCAGCCTTCATCCACATAACATCTACCAGCGTCAGTTGTGTCGCTTCACTGCCATTCATAAATCCTCTGCAGTGGACTCATGGTATAGTGAAGTGTTCATTATATGCACATCTCGCCGAAAGTAGTAGGTCATCCAGTTACTTTTTGCCTTCTCTTTTATGAGTACTGTGAATTCGAACATACTTTCTTTTGTCACATACTGTTTCGCCTACTATATAATAGGTAAGTATGTCATTTCAGATGCAGCCTGTATCTGATGTGTGCACTGATTAATGTTTACATGAATAAAAAGGGTCATTTAAAACGATCAAATCTCTTCAGAAAGTTTGGACTCAGCCGCTCGATTAATATGGATTAGTTTTACGATCTTTTTATGACCTTTTTGAAGAGTCAAAGTGGTAGTTTCGTAGGCAGTCAATGGAGGCACAGAAATCTCTCAGATTTCATTAAAAATATCTTAATTTGTGTTCCGAAGATGAACGAAAGAATTGCGGGTTTGGAACAACATGAGGGTGAGTAAATGCTGACATTTTTTTTTGTGTTTTCATTTTTGGATGAACTAACCCTTTAAAGATTGTGTTTATAAATGTGCATACACAGCTCTGCTTCTGTGCAATGTCAACTAAAAGTACATGTAGCTGTTTGAATGAAGGAAAACCCACAGGAAGAGAACAGTTTGAGGTATCACGTGACATTTATTTGCACCGCAAACATTCTAGTATTCAAACATAATTTCACCTAAAAAAAAGGTGATTTTGAGTGCAAACTAAACAGGTTACCAAAAAAGCCTTCATCCAGAGCGAATGCAGTACATTTATACTGGTTCAGTTCCAGTGCAGTAACCTAAAGTAAAGGGTGTTTATCGAACACAAGAGTGAGTGTTCAAAGCAGATGGGAAATGACCATCGTAAAGATGACACACACACACACCCCAGTCACTGTGACGACTAAATCCGATGTCTGCTGCAGGGAAAGGCTGTTGTGGGCCGCTGTAGGCCGGTCACTTTGCTGCGGATGTGTACTGGTCTCCAGTGGACTGATTCCTTGCCCGCCGACTGCTGGTTCACCACGTCTCTCTGATGATTGGTTAGTTGACAGGTAAGCCGTAGAGTAAAATGCTGATGGTAAAAGTGTACAAAAGTTAAATCTGTTACGATACTTTTATATTGTACTTTATTTTTGGGGCTTGACAGACATGGTGGTCACTATGTTTTTATTGTATGGAAAATTCAGAGAGTGGAAAATGATCATGGGAAACGTTTTGAGGAGCAATAAATCGTGGTGAATACTAAAATTGACAACAGGGGGGGGGAAATGTCTATTTAGATATCTCTTTCATTCTAACAGTGGTGGATGTTTTACCCAGAAGAGTTTGTAATAGCACAGCGATTATAAAAAGGCTGAATATGGCGGCGATCCCACAGGCCAGCGGCAGCAGAACAGAGCTGTGTGTGAAGTCTCTCCACGCTCGGATTAACTGGATCCTCCACAGGACTAAAGAACAGGGAGTCACGTCCCCCTCCTCAAACTCCCTGCATCTACAGAAAGAAGAGTATCATGAGGAGAGAACCGATTCGTGCTCACACGGAAGTGTCTTCACCCCTTACACTCACTTCCATTGTTGTTAAAGTCCACATGATTTGCCATTTTTACTTTCTTTGACAGCCCTAAATATCAACCAATTAAATCATTGTTTAACATCAGTTAGATACACCCACCTTGTAATATAATAATATCAAAAATTTGGTAACACTTTATAATAACTGCATGCTATGAATCATTAGTTAAGCATTAGTAAATAGTTAATTCATCATTTATAAAGCATTAATAGCATTAATAAGAAGTTTATAAATACAGCTATAAATGCTTTATACTTGATTTATAAGCATATCTATAATGTGTTTAATAATTGTATTTTCATACTTTATTAATAATCAATTTATCATTTCTAAATTAAGTGTTACATTATTTACAACCCAGTTATGTAGGAGTTGTCGGTGGTTCATAAGATCGTTTAGAAAGTGCAAGTAAATTATTAATAAACTATTTATACGTCTTATTATTTAGACATATTATATAATAATAGACATTACTATTATAAAGTAATAGTTACTCAGTGTGTTAATAAATGCTTTATTAACACGTATTCCTACTGTAATTCATGATTAATTCAGGTAGTTAAACATTTAGTAGCCTAGTTGTCAGTTAAATATTTATGTGAGCTTATCTAAAGTGACTATTTATGCCCGTAAAGCTTTTCTTTCACGATGCTTTGATGAATTAAAAGTTCAGCATTCATTTGAAATAGAATCCTTTAATGTTATAAATGTCTTTACTGTCACATTTGATCAAGTTAATCTGTTCTTGCTGAATAAAAGGATATATACAAATCTTACTGACCCCAGACTTTTGTTACAAATTTGCTGTAAATTATCTTTAAATCAAGTCCCTTTGTGAATCTTTTTTTATTTTTGAGGTTTCAAATTTGGCCTATATACTATAACTAAACAACTATGTACAGACACACACCATACTGCATGCACAAACACATACACAATTGTTTTGCACCATGTTTTGCGTAATTCAAATCAACTTCAGAGATGAAGAGTTTTCCTTCAAAAAACATGAAACTAACAAGCAAATGACCGTGTAGAACACACAGACCTGGATAATAGATTTTCCACAACAACTCTCCGGTTCATATTGTGTGCAGCTGAGATTCCCAACTGATCTAGAACGATGTCCGGAACTTCATAACCCTCCTCAATTAACATGGCCAGATTAAAGAGTCCCTGAAAATACACACAAAATACATGTACTCAAATTATTGGGGAAAAAAATAAATATACAGTATATACTTTACTACAAAATCTGGAAAGGATGTCTGTGGGTTTATTTAGCTGTACAGTAAAGCTAATATAATAAGACTATATAGTATTCTATTTGCAACAAGTGACGTTTCTTATCGGCCAACTAAATTCCACAGTTTCTTTATTCACTTAATTTGTTATTACTTTCTCAGTTTTTTTTTCATTTGTCACTCATATGTGAATAATGTAAAGCATTTCTGCCAAATGAAAGCGGAGCAAACATATACATACTACATAAAAACGTATACATACTAAATAGTATAGCAGAATCCCTGCCAGTGTACATATTTCTACGTTGTATATATATATATATATATATGTATAGTCAAACTGCCCAGCCCTATATTTGCCTGTTTAGATATGGTAAACGTGGTATGGTGTGTGTGTGTGTGTGTGTGTGCGTGTGTGTACCTGAGGACTGCCATGCACTGCTGCTGTACTGTACATGTGCATGGCCTTCACCATATCAGCCAGTTTACTGTAATAATCTCCCATCCGCAACAAACCTGCAGAAGACCGAGAAGCAGTAACAGATGGAGGCAGAAAGAGAGACAGCATAACTATTTTTTATTGTGAATCGTGTCAAATCAAGCTGTAATTTAGTTGCAAGATTTGTAATTGATGTGATTTAAAATGCAAGGTTTGAAATTAAAAATAATGCTAGATATGAATTTTGAGATGTGGTAGAAATAACATTACACAGTTCAGGGAGAAAATGTGAATGCCTTAATTCAAAGTCATAAAAGGTGTTTAGGAAATAAACATATTTAGGGGCCGTTCACACGGAACGCGTTTTTCCAGTCCACTGCACTTACTTTTCCATGATTTGTAAATGCGCTAGACGGACGTGTATGACCGGTGCGCTCGCGTCCTGTGTGTTATGCAGCGTCTCGCACTGGACACGGCAATTTAAGAACGCGGCGCTCAGTTAATCTTTTAAAAGACGTGTCTCGAGACCTTGCGGTTTTTCCCCATTCCACTGCCTGTGTCTCGCGTTCTTCAAAGCAAAAACGCCTCTGTGTGAACCAGCCCTTATCCTTCTGTTCTAACAGATGTTGTATGTTGTTGTCTGTGTTTGTGCTGGTCTGCAGAGGCTCACCAGCTTCCTGAGGGATGTGGTTGTAGGTAGAGTAGTTGTGATACCTCCACTGACAGGCAGAACTGTGGCCTAACACCTAGAAACACGTACATTAGGTGAATGGTATATGTAAAAAGAAAAAGAAAAACAAACAACAACCAGGAAATGAAACTGGCTGATTAGGAGACATATAAAAGATGTTCACCTCACACAGATGGGCGGCATTGTGCTGTGCCACACCAAGACCAGTTTCTGCTAGAATGGCGTATTTCACCAACGCTTCATCCCTTGAACAGACAACACATATCCACACATAATTGTCATGATTCTGCCATCATGTTATTGATTATTCCTAGTCTTGTGGCAGGATCATGACAGAACCAATGTTTTGTGTACAAGCGCATGGCCAATTGTTTGGCTATGTGCTTGTGTTGTCTCGTCTCTTAACCCCGCCCCCTTGTTATCCTGATTCAGTCTTTATTGCTTCACCCGTGTCACCTGTTATGTCTTGATTAGTCTCCTTATTTAATCCCCTTGTGTTTGCTGTCTTGGGTCGGTTTCATTGCCAAACGTTACTTGTGAGTATCTTGTGAAAGTCTTGTCATTGAAAGTCATTGTAGGTCTAGTCATTGTTAGTATCTCTCGAAGTGTTGTTTGTTTTCTAGTATTTTGTCAATGTCGTTGTCTAGTTAGTCACCAGAGTCCTGTCTTGTTTTGCCCCCTCGTGGGCTTTGTTTTCCCCTTTTTGTCTTCAATAAATTGTGTGAAGAGCATTCAGTCTGCTTTTGGGTTCGTCAATCTGCATCCACGTAACAAAATGAACCGACCAGAACTGAACCCAGCAGACAGTATGTCCTCCCTGCTTAAGCAACAGTCAGCTGACCAGCAATTATGGTGGCAGTCAGCTATCACCGACAGCAGGATGGGCAAGCTTCCTTTCCCTCCCAAGGGAGAGAGGTCTCTGAGGAGATATGCTCAGGCCGTGGAAGCAAGGAGGTTTTTCTTACCTGAGATCCTTGTCAACCGTTACCTCATCGCGGGTCTCAAAGCTCCGCCTCCTCTGGCTGAACGGGAGAGGCTGGTCCACCGCCCGTTCCGGGACATGGTGGACTATTTGTCTCGTAAGGAGCCGCAGGGTCCCATCGTGTCGTCACCTCCTGCCTGTCTGCCGGTGATCCCGGAGGGTCGTATGTTAGGCGTCGTGACGCTTGGAGACCAGACTCGTCCCACTTCGACTCCCGAGGCATCATTTGCACCCGCTGATCTCCGTGGCAAACGAGAGAGACGGCTGTCGTGGGAGTCGACTTCGGAGTCCTCTTCCGCTGAGACTGCAGTCCCGGCTGTACAGCCTCAACTGGTCACAAGCCCGGCTACGGCCTCTGCTCCGCGACCCAGGAAGAAGAGGAAGAGGGGAGCCTCTTGCCCTCCGTCTCTCTCAGGGCCCGCTACTGCAAGCGCTGTTCCAGGGCCCGCTACTGCAAGCGCTGTTCCAGGGCCCGCTACTGCAAGCGCTGTTCCAGGGCCCGCTACTGCAAGCGCTGTTCCAGGGCCCGCTACTGCAAGCGCTGTTCCAGGGCCCGCTACTGCAAGCGCTGTTCCAGGGCCCGCTACTGCAAGCGCTGTTCCAGAGCCCGCTACTGCAAGCGCTGTTCCAGAGCCCGCTACTGCAAGCGCTGTTCCAGAGCCCGCTACTGCAAGCGCTGTTCCAGAGCCCGCTACTGCAAGCGCTGTTCCAGAGCCCGCTACTGCAAGCGCTGTTCCAGGATCTGCGGAGAGAGTTGCGGCCGACCTAGCCGCTAAAGATGTTCTGCAAGCTGTTTCTGCTCATCAGGAGATGCCGGTCATCATTGCGGCCAAGGCCCTTTCTAATTACCTGTCCCGTCTTGTCGCGATTCTTGAACCCCCTGTCTGTCCTGCCTTGTCCTCCGCATCCAAGCCTGTCCCTGTGAGCGCTGCACCCGAGCCGGTCGCCGTGAGCGCTGCACCCAGTCCTGTCCTGTCACCTGCCATGTCCCCCGTCAGAAGTCCCGTTACCTCATCCTCCGTGTCCTCTGTGTCTGAGTCTGTTGCTGCAGCATCCCCGACTGTTTCCCCGTTCGTCCCTGTCTCCACCAGCCCCCGGACTGTTTCCCCGTTCGTCCCTGTCTCCACCGGCCACCGGACTGTTTCCCCGTTTGTCCCTGTCGTCACTAGTCCCCGGACTGTTCCCCCTGTCACCACGAAACCCCGGACTGTTCCGCCCAAGTCTCGTCCTCGTGTGTCTTCCTCCAGACCTGCCCTGAGTTCTTGTCCTCAGCCCTCATTCCATGGACCCAAGACCCCCAGTCCTCCCATCCACCCTGGACCACCCCCCATGAACTCTGTGTTTCCTCCACCTCCTTTGCCTTGTATGTTGTTTTTGATGTTTCACCCTAACCCTGTTATTGATTATTCATATATGCCGCTTTTAGTGTTTTCCATGTTTTGTTGGTTTTTGTCAATGTTTTGTTCCGTCTTGTGCTTAGTGTCCCTTTGAGGAGCGTCTGGTAGCCGCTCCTTAAAGTGGGGGTTCTGTCATGATTCTGCCATCATGTTATTGATTATTCCTAGTCTTGTGGCAGGATCATGACAGAACCAATGTTTTGTGTACAAGCGGATGGCCAATTGTTTGGCCATGTGCTTGTGTTGTCTCGTCTCTTAACCCCGCCCCCTTGTTATCCTGATTCAGTCTTTATTGCTTCACCCGTGTCACCTGTTATGTCTTGATTAGTCTCCTTATTTAATCCCCTTGTGTTTGCTGTCTTGGGTCGGTTTCATTGCCAAACGTTACTTGTGAGTATCTTGTGAAAGTCTTGTCATTGAAAGTCATTGTAGGTCTAGTCATTGTTAGTATCTCTCGCAGTGTTGTTTGTTTTCTAGTATTTTGTCAGTGTCGTTGTCTAGTTAGTCACCAGAGTCCTGTCTTGTTTTGCCCCCTCGTGGGCTTTGTTTTCCCCTTTTTGTCTTCAATAAATTGTGTGAAGAGCATTCAGTCTGCTTTTGGGTTCGTCAATCTGCATCCACGTAACAATAATCATTTCAAACCAGTGTGACTTTCTTCTGTGAAACACAAAATCATTTTTAATAATGTGCTTGTCACTATTTTTCCATTACAATATTCATGAACACAAAAGCAGAAACGAGGGTTATTTTAATAAATAAGATCAACTGAAGGAAGGATGAAGGTATGGTTGGGTAGTTGGATAGTTTTTAGGTACAGCAATTTAATAATTGGGCTTAAATGTAAAATAACACTATAGTGTTCACTGTATAAATTATATATAGATTAATCTTTGTGAAAGCTGTTTTGTTGTTTAATTAACATGAATGACTTAGACAGGAGTAGGTATTTATAGGCTGCTGTCACTTTAAAGGTGCTGATAGTCATTTTTTGACTGTACTAAAGAATACAATTCCACAGGTTTGCAGATATTTAGGAAACATGCTAAGTTCAAGTTCAAATACTTGTTTCTCAGAAAAACAATGACACAGCCAGTTATTCTAATTTGAAATGTGTGTTCCGTGTCGGAATGTCTGTTTTTGTTTTGGACTGTGTGATTCCGCCCACTGCCAATTTATCCAATAGTATATTACAGCATATTTCAGCCATGGAAGCCAGCCAATGAACTGGGTCAGAGATCGCAGATTCTACCGGTACTAAAAAGCCTTGTGACCCATCTAAAAAGCTCTATGACCAGAGGCATATTAAAACGCAGACATTAGCTGATTAACTTACAGTGGGAGGCTCGTCGCTTTCCATTGTCAATTGCGCTCGTGTCCTGAATCTGGCAACCCACGTGAGCGTCAAGTCTTAGGAGGAGGGCGAGAGAAACAACCCTCTCCAATATTTAAAATTTAGACTGTAGCACCCATTTCAATGGATGAAGAAATGGATGGATGGAGGGATAGATGGATAAAGGGGAGGATGGATGGATGGTTAAAGATAGGGCTGATAAAGGGATGGATGGATGGATAAAGATATGGATGTATGAATGAATGGATGGTTAGATGAAGGGATGGATGGAAGGATGATAAAGATGGATGGATGAAGGCATAGATGGATGGATGGGTGGATGGAGGTATGGATAGATGCTGTCTGTGAATGTAAACGGTCAATCGCTAAGCTTTAGGAAGCCTCCGGAGCTGAAGTTCAGTTATGGTAATGGTCGTTTCGTTTCCGGCACGCGCTGTAAGCGGTAGACCAATCACCGTGAAAAGTGAAGTCGCCAAAGTCCTAATATGGCGCTGACATCTTGCGCTGATTTGGGACCTGATTCTGCACAGTAGTGAACGCGGGACCCGAGTCTGCGCAGTAGTGAGCGTGAAGTGGAGCCGCAATTTCAAGGTCCCGCCCTCGCTCCCGAAATAAACAGTTATGGACATGTAGAAATTAAAGTTGATGCTCCAATCTCCTCCCGAAAATCCCCCCAAAAAAGTATGTTGGTGCCTTGGTAACTACTTCGTTTAGAGAAGCTGTCAATCACAGCTGTCAATCATGACGTCACATTCCCGTTTTTTTTGCATCAAATAAAGAACTAAGATCAAACTTATTTAAAACACTTAAACTTAAACTACCTAAAATGACAGAAAACATCTTTTCCTAGTTTGACTGAACCATCTGACCAATCAGAGCAGAGTAGACCAATCACAGCAGACTGGGCCATCTGACCAATCAGAGCAGAGTAGACCAATCACAGCAGACTGGGCCATCTGACCAATCAGAGCAGAGTAGACCAGTCACAACAGACTGGGCCATCTGACCAATCAGAGCAGAGTAGACCAATCACAACAGACTGAGCCATCTGACCAATCAGAGCAGAGTAGACCAATCACAACAGACTGGGCCATCTGACCAATCAGAGCAGAGTAGACCAATCACAGCAGACTGGGCCATCTGACCAATCAGAGCAGAGTAGACCAATCACAGCAGACTGGGCCATCTGACCAATCAGAGCAGAGTAGACCAATCACAGCAGACTGGGCCATCTGACCAATCAGAGCAGAGTAGACCAATCACAACAGACTGAGCCATCTGACCAATCAGACTAGAGTAGACCAATCACAACAGACTGAGCCATCTGACCAATCAGAGCAGAGTAGACCAATCACAACAGACTGAACCCTCTGACCAATCAGAGCAGAGTAGACCAATCACAACAGACTGGGCCATCTGACCAATCAGAGCAGAGTAGACCAATCACAGCAGACTGGGCCATCTGACCAATCAAAGCAGAGTAGACCAATCACAACAGACTGGGCCATCTGACCAATCAGAGCAGAGTAGACCAATCACAACAGACTGGGTCATCAGACCAATCAGAGCAGAGTAGACCAATCACAACAGACTGAGCCATCTGACCAATCAGACTAGAGTAGACCAATCACAACAGACTGAGCCATCTGACCAATCAGAGCAGAGTAGACCAATCACAACAGACTGAACCCTCTGACCAATCAGAGCAGAGTAGACCAATCACAACAGACTGGGCCATCTGACCAATCAGAGCAGAGTAGACCAATCACAGCAGACTGGGCCATCTGACCAATCAGAGCAGAGTAGACCAATCACAACAGACTGGGCCATCTGACCAATCAGAGCAGAGTAGACCAATCACAACAGACTGGGTCATCAGACCAATCAGAGCAGAGTAGACCAATCCCAACAGACTGAGCCATCTGACCAATCAGACTAGAGTAGACCAATCACAACAGACTGAGCCATCTGACCAATCAGAGCAGAGTAGACCAATCACAACAGACTGAGCCATCTGACCAATCAGAGCAGAGTAGACCAATCACAACAGACTGGGTCATCAGACCAATCAGAGCAGAGTAGACCAATCACAACAGACTGGGCCATCTGACCAATCAGAGCAGAGTAGACCAATCACAACAGACTGGGCCATCTGACCAATGAGAGCAGAGTAGACCAATCACAACAGACTGGGTCATCAGACCAATCAGAGCAGAGTAGACCAATCACAACAGACTGGGCCATCTGACCAATCAGAGCAGAGTAGACCAATCACAACAGACTGGGCCATCTGACCAATCAGAGCAGAGTAGACCAATCCCAACAGACTGGGCCATCTGACCAATCAGAGCAGGAAAGGAGGGATTTAGAATGATTGAAAAATGTGGTGATGTGCAATGTTTGTTTTTTTTGTTGAGAAAACAAGTGTTTTTATGACCTTTGAAGCCTGTTATAGGTGACCTCAAAAACAAAATTAAGAACCTTTAAAGTAGCATAATAGGGACACACTTTAAGGTGGGGATGAATGAAGGTGGGGATGAATGAAGGGATAGATGAATGAAGGGATAGATGAATGAAGGCATGGATCTCTCACCATGATCCTCTTTGATAAGTCTGAAGAGCTTCTTTAACCATGAAGCCCAGGTGGCCATTCATCTCACTGACTCGCTTCAACAGCCTGAAGAAACAGAAGCCCAACAAAAGAGAAACAAAGACTTGTTAAACACCGATCTATCAATCAGATTAAAATGACAGCTTTTGCATTTATAAAGAAGTTGTAGTAGAAAAGAAGTCTGTAAAATTTGTCAATATTTGTCTAGTAAATGATCATCCATTTGTGTTGGCCGCTACTAATTGAAGTGATAGAGAGTATAGATGAGTCTGACATACAGCACAGCTTTGCCTTGATCTCTCGCCACTCCTCTTACAGTTCCAGTGGAGAGAAATGATGCCGCCTCCACAGCGCCGTCCACGTGACCCAACTGAGCCGCACGCAGAAAGAACTGGAACGCAGCGGTCTGACAGAGCATAGAGATCAACCATACACTTACGCCATAAACACATGTTTATCAGTGTAAAGTTCTCATGACAGAAGAAAGCATGAGAGAATTCAAACTCATGACTCTTGGTGCCAGGATTGATTCCAATGTACTATCTATCTATCTATCTATCTATCTATCTATCTATCTATCTATCTATCTATCTATCTATCTATCTATCTGTCTATCTATCTATCTATCTATCTATCTATCTATCTATCTATCTATCTATCTATCTATCTATCTATCTATCTGTCTGTCTGTCTGTCTGTCTGTCTGTCTGTCTGTCTGTCTGTCTGTCTGTCTGTCTGTCTATCTATCTATCTATCTATCTATCTATCTATCTATCTATCTATCTATCTATCTATCTATCTATCCTAGTCATTTTTTTTACTTGACAGCACCTCTGTTGCAATTTTGCAAATTTGACAGGACCTCTTTTTTTGTCATTTCTTAAACTTGACAGCAACTCTTTTGTCAATTTGTAAATATGACAGGAACTTTTTTTGTCATTTCTTAAACTTGACAGCAACTCTTTTGTCAATTAGTAAACATGACAGGAACTCTTTTGTCATTTTGTAAACTTGACAGCAACTCTTTTTTTGTCATTTTTGATACTCGACAGAAACTCTATTTTTTTTGGTCATTTAGCAAATTTGACAGCATCTCTTTCTTGTCATTTTCCAAACTTGACAGCACCTTTTTTGAAAAAAAAAAAAAAAATTAATTTGACCACCTCTTCTTTGTCTTTTTTTTTTAACAGGATAAACTTCACCAACTCTTTTTTTGTTGTTGTAATTTTCCAAACGTGACAGCACCTTTTTTTTGTCATTTTTCGAGAATGTTACAGATTCTTTAAAAGATCTCTGTGTTCCACAGAAAACCACACGGGTTTGGAACATCATGAGGGCGGGAAAATTAAGACATTAGTATTTGTTTTCACTTGAAACTATCCATTAAAGGATCAATGTGCAGCCTCTGACCTCATTTCTGTCTGGTTTGTCAGGACTGGCACCATTTAACTGGTAGACTCCCACATTGAAGAGCCCATCCCGACTGCTGTTCTGAGCCGCCAACTCAAAATATCTAATGGCTTTTCTTCCATCCTTTACTATGTTACTGTAATACCATCCAAGTCCATTCAGAGCTTCTACAGAACCCTGAAAAAAACACACATGGCCCATTATAGAAATCGCAACACTTCCACACACAACCACATGCGCGCTGGTACTGTTTGTGCACTCGCCATGTCAGCAGCTTTCTCCAGAAGCTCGAGGCCAAGCGTCCGGTTCTTCTTCACTCCTGTGCCCTGTTCAAGCACAAACACTTGAAAGAATCTTCAGATACACACACACATACATCATTTTACATACATTTTCCTAATTTTGTGTCAGGAGTTTCTATTTATAAAAAACAAGCATGTATGTGCTTTTTACAATGCAAATGCTTGAAAGATTTCCATGTAACCCATGGATTACCTTCAGGATGAGAATGGCGTAGTCGTACATGGCCGTGGGATCCACCATCTGCAGGGCGCTCCTGGCGTACCACATGGCCGCTGTCTGAATGTCTTTCTGCACCCCATTACTGCCCCAAAGAAGCATCCTGGCCAACGATTTCTACAAGAAACACCAGCCCACAACGCTTTTACAACAGATCCTGATGTTCTGAATGACTATCTGAAGTCAATAGTTAAAGGTTACACTTGAGATAAACCTAAAAGCAAAGAGAGATCATGTGAAACAGACAAAAAAAAGTGAAGACCTGAGATTCTACATCTCCTCTGTTGGCCTGGTGTTTCAAATACTGCACAATGTCGCCCTGTTCGCCCGTTTGGGTATGGAGCTCGTCGTCATTGTTTAAATGAACATGTTCTGTTGGAGTTTGCTGCAGTGAAGAAACACACAAAAGAAAAACAGACATTATAATTTCCCATTACATTCAGACAATATTTATTTCACGTCAAACCAGTTTGTGTTAACATGCAAATCCACGCCCTCAAAACACTGTGCAAACCACCGGTTAACCTGATGACACACTATTTACAGTGAGTCTGCATGTGTCTTTGTGTTTACTAAAGTTCATAATTTCATTAACAATCAGCTTAGCAAACATCAGCAGTGTAATTTTTCTAAATATTTGACTGTGCTCGGTGATAAACAAGAGGTGCACCTGATACTAAGGCACCATTTTATTAGCAAATGAGCCTTTGCAAATTGAATTCCCTTAGGTCCTGTAGTCTGTAGAGTCTGCATGATTGGAATTAACCAGGAATTTTCATGACGGAAATAAAATCTAACTTAGTGTCTCATTTAGACGTTTAATAATTGATGGAATTATCAATATCTTTGTATTTTTCACTGAATAACACACAATGTATATTGTCTTTCTGTTAGAAATGCCATATTTGTATTGCTGTTTGTATTGCTGTATTGTATTGCTATATTTACACGGTTTTGATAAAATATATCCATTTTTAAACAGCTTTTTTTTTTTTTTTTTTTTTTTTAAGTAGTAACTAGTAAAGATTACTTGGGGTTTTACCGTATTTTGTCAGCATGGATTAAGCTTGTCATGTAATAAAACAATTATGTGCCATTTTTAAGCGACCTACTGAGCTTGACATTTTATTAAAAGCACATGGCAAACCACATAATGAGACATTGTACCTCATTACATCCCAGTCCAAACAGCAACATAGTGTCGGCCCAGATCCGGCAGATCCGATCTGGTATATGCATTGCATCCACATGTACCAGATCTGGGCCGGCACTACGTTGCTGTCTGGGAGGACAGTTCAAAATATCAAAATTAATTTAAATTCTGTATCTGTATACATTACCAATCTCTGTATATAAATGTGTAACTCACCGAAGAGTCTTGTACTTTATCGTGGTCGATGCTGGTCTGTTTGCCGATGTTGGCGTAGTAGCCATATGCTGTATTCTGGTCTTTGGGGAAACCGTCAAGTCCCTCCATGTGCTTGTATCCCAAATGCATCAGAGCGAGCCGGTCATCCGAGACGCCGCCTATCAGACTATAAACATGACCCTGAGAAAGAGATCACCATCAAACTTTAACAAAATATTGCTGTACCAAACAAAATGCGTATCTGCCGTTTCTCTTGTCGCTCTTCTTTTCTAGCTTTTTATCAAATTACTACTTTATTCAACATAAAATGAAGAAGAGTGCTACACTGACTGCAACAGTAGCCTAAAACAATGACTAAATAGCTATTTGGTTAATGGTTGCCATTAGCTGATAGCCTGCTTGGTGTGTCATCCAAAGAGAAAGGTGTTTTAAAGCAGTTATTCATTAGTTAAGCAAGCTATTGTATTTTGATGAAAGTTTATGAAGGCAAAATTGTATTTTCGACAGTCCCTGTCAGGGTTCTGTCACTTCTGTCTAGTCTATTTCTTGGTTTTGTGACAGAGCCCTGACACTCCTGTTTTGTCTTGTCGGTGTGCCTTAATTCATGTGCTTTCATGTCATGTTTTGTCTTGTACTGTATAGCACAGCTTGTGTTTTCCACTAGCTGTGTGCTTTCGTGTTGTCATGTTTTGTGTGAACACGTGGCTTATGTGTTTTCATTAGCTGCGTGTTCATGTCTCGTTTTTGTGTGAGCACATGGCTTGTGATTTGTTTTACTGGCCATGTGCTTGTGTTCAAGTCATGTTTGTTGTGAGCACATGGCTTGTCATGTGTTTCCTTGTGCCATGTGGTCTCCTGTCCATTGTCTAGCCCCTCGTTACCTGATTATTGATTCATTTGCCCCACCTGTCCTCCCTCGCCACCTGCTTTGTTTGCTCTCTCTATTTATTCTCCTTGTGTTTTCAGTCCTGTGCTGGATCGTCACTAAATGTTACCTTGAGTGTTTCCCTGCTCTAGTCAAGTGGTGTCGTGTCAAGTGTTTCTGTCCTGTATAGTTTTTGTTTGTGTTTTCACTTTTATTAATAAAGCCCTTATTTCTCCTGCAATTGAGTCCTCGCTCCCATCACTCAACCTGACAGTCCCCTTTAGACATTCTACTAACTATAGGTAACTTTGCCACTGTGTGTCAACTAACTCTCATTAAAGTATTAGTAGACTCAGACTGTGCTTAATATCTGCTAACTCTTTATTGTGATGCTCCTCAACAGACGTTCTACGGACTATAGGTAACTTTACAACTACATGTCAACTTATACTACTAACCCGAGACCTAACAGTCAACTAATACACTAATGAGAGTCTAATAAGTGCAACATGCAAACATTTTTTATTTGAAAATGAATCATTCACTATAAGACCACAAATGTCAACTATTAGAAAAAAAGGTTCAATGTATGTTAAAGTATGTTTGCATGCTGTTTAATTAATAAATCATGCTGCATTCACGCCATGTCGTAGTTACTGTAACGATTCTGAACTGTAAAAAGCCTTTACGTGCTTGTAGAACTTGTAATCACAACGTGTAAACTCGTAATTGTCTAAGAGCTAAGACTTCTAACATGTGGCTGCTGTACCACCTGACCACTGCAGATTTAAGGTGTGTTCGACTTGGTCGAGACTGAACGCTGCATGACATCAAAGTACCATGAGATCGATTCAAAAGCTTTATTTACGGTAATTACATTGGCGTGAACGCAGCTTTATCCCATGATGAAAGTTATATATGAAGCACCTGACCTGACAGAACACTTTTAAAGTTATTTACATACACTGAACAAAATTATAAATGCAACACTTTTGTTTTTGCCCCCATTTTTATGAGCTGAACTCAAAGATCTAAGACTTTTTCTATGTACACAAAAGGCCTATTTCTCTCAAATATTGTTCACCAATCTGTCTAAATCTGTGTTAGTGAGCACTTCTCCTTTGCCGAGATCATCCATCCACCTCACAGGTGTGGCATATCAAGATGCTGATTAGACAGCATGATTATTGCACAGGTGTGCCTTAGGCTGGCCACAATAAAAGGCCACACTAAAAACGTTCGAATCATGACAGAAAACGACATTGTTCAGGCTGGATCAAGCTAATGCGCAGCGGAAGTGCCTGACTGTTTTTATATCCGGAGCTTCTAACGGCTGCAGTGATGCGATGACTTTTCCTATCGCCGTTTTGCTCTTATTTAGAAGGCGGGACTTATTACGCAATATTGAGCGTTGCACTTTTCCCCATTCAAAACAATACGAGTGACGCGTCTTATGTAATTCTATAGTCTTTGTTCTCATCCTCACCTGCTCCAGGTCCACAGGGACGCCCAGGCCAGCCAGGTGAAGGGTCGCGAGCAGGAGAGAGGAGTGCTGGTGACCCCAGCAGAGAGACACCTGAAGCTGCTCAATGAGATCCAGGCCGCCGTCAGATTCCTCGGCTTTACTGACTGTCTTTAACACATCCTGGAAAATCACTCGGCTTAGATGTAGCAAATGTCCACCACTGCTCTCCAGACCTGAGGAACAGATGAAGAGACTCTCTACCAAGAGCCATCGGTGGTTCACATAACCACGCACAGTGTTAAACCCCACCTACCTGTTATGAAGTCCTGGTGTTCTTCTAGAAGCCTCAGGGCGATGTTGAATCTTCTTTGCTGGTCCCACGACCAAGTTTGTGTGCATTCCTTACGACCAAACTTCCTCCTGAGGTCTCCATAATAAGACTCACAAACATCTGATAACCAAAAACACAGTGTTTTTAGAAACAGTTCACACAAAAAGAAAACTACTCATCTGCTGTCCACTGTTCATTCACACTGGTGTTCAGTGCTTTTTCCTATTGTGACGTATATATCCGAGTGAAACGGCTTCAGGAACATGAACAAATGTAGGGCGTTTTGTCCACGGGGAATTTATTGGATGCTTGTGGTTTGCTATTGGTGGATCTCATGTGAGTGACAGGTTATAGTCCCGCCCTCATCCTCAGAGAAGAGAAGAGGGAGGGGAAGTTATTTTGAATAAATCTAAATAATATTTAAAAAATTGGAATCTTGCATAAAACATGTGTGAATAAAGCACCGTTTCCATCTTGTGTGTTCAAGAAAACAAAATTGGAACTTCCTGGGAAACTGGTGCAAATTATCAGTAATAGAAGTGGCTGCAACTGGGACAGCCACTGTAACTCAGTTTTCCTGCATAAAATATGTAGACGAAACACAATAACAGACGCTGTCATGGTTTCTTGCGCTTGGGATGTTTGGGAATGCAATCGTTTGAGGTAATTAATTCTGAAAGGTAATTATACCAAATCATTTTGATGACAAACTCTGGCTCAGGCATTTAAGAATGACTAAAACGACATTTGAGATGCTGTGCAATGAAACTTAGTCCAGTTATCCAATCATATGATCTGTTGAGTCACATGATTTTTTACATCTAGGTATTTATTCAGTAAATGTGTTTCCATCATAGTTAGTCTTCTAATTGGATTTTTTTAAAAATCTGTTTTTTATATGCATTTTAAGACTTCATACACATCCGGCATTTCCATCCAGCAATATTTTATGTGTTAAATGCGCATAAAAATATGTGGATGGAAACATAGCTAATGTCTCCAACTGTGCTCTCATTTGCCAAGATAGCAAAGTCTGCGATTAAATGTCAGAGATTTCAGTATGATCTCAAACAATTCTCATCAAATTCAAAGTCTATATTTTGATCTATTCGGGTCTCATCCATTTGAACGGACCTGTAGAGACGTCTCGGTTCTGTCTCAATGCCTCCAGATAGTGCTCAGTAACCTGTTGCATTTCCTCGCAGTGTGTGTGGAATCTGCCCAGCTCTTTTAGCGTCCTAACAGGGGACAGGGGGTTTTTCACCTTGAGTAGAAATGATACAAGATATTATGGCATAAGAATGTCTTAATGCATTCTGGATCATGTGATTAATATTTGACATAATAAATTGGTTTTGTTATACGCATTTATCCGTTGATAAGAGACTCACCTTTTCTGAGCCTAAACGATAGTATCTGATTGGTCCAAAATAGCCATGAAAGCCCTTCATGAAGTTGCATCCACCAATCACAAAATATCCTGATGTGTCATTGAATTTAATTGGCTGGCGAAAACTGAAAAAAATTAATAAAGAATTTTATGTTTTACCAGACATGAACTACACTATAAAATTGGCTGTAAAAAACTATATTTTTTAAAAAGTATTAAAAATTAAATAAAAGAATCAATTTAGTTGGCTGTATACTTAAATCTAAAGAAAATGTTTCATATGGATTAGTATTATATGAATGAATTAATATTGTATGGAAAAAATAGTATTAATATGAATGAATTCAATTATTCATAAATTATTAATAATAATATTAATATTTCATGCAATTTCTTCTTGGCCTCATGAATATTATTTTATATATTTATGAATAATTGAATTCATTCATATTAATACAATTTATATTGTATTAATAATAATAATATTAATATTTCATGCAATTTCCTCTTGGCTATATTAATATTATTTTATATATGTTTTATTATTTTAAAAAAAAAAAAATCGCTTACTGTTCCTAACATTTGATGGCAATAATAATAAACATTATATACATTTTACAGTGCAGATGAGACGTTATGACTTACTTAAAAAGATGAGTGTTCTCCGACGTCTGTCCTGCAGGTAAGACCTTAGTGACTGTGAGTTTTGCCTGACATATGACAAAAGATCCAAGAGTTCATTTTCTAATACATTCACACCTGGTTGCTTCATTAGAAGTACAGTGGAATATGACTGCATGTGAATATGGTTGATGTACCTTTGACACATTTAAGAAGAAGTCCAGGCGGATCCAGGTATGAAGAGGTAACGCTGTGTGTGCTGTAAACGCCTGCTCTTCTCCATCCACCATTTGCACCTGCAGCACTATATTGCCTGAGGATCAAGACATACTGTCATTGGAAATGTACATCGAAATATGATATATAGTTCAATAAATAACAGCTTAAATTTCAGTCTTTTTCTCATGCACAGTTATTGTATGACTTGGTTTTTTTGATGAAGGTTTTATGAGGGTTTATGTCGTTTTTATGTCGTTAACTAAATTCCTATACATTTGCTTGAGTTTATTTCTTGCATCAGTGTCACACGATTGAATGCGCTCTGGCTGGCTTACCTGCGTCAGATAGCATAATGAGCGGGCTTCCATACTTCCTGTGTTCATTGACATGTTTGACTATCCCACACAACGACTGGCCGCACCAGCTCAGCAAGTAGAGCCACAATGACAGAGCAGCACTGCAGAGAGGAGATGATGCGAGTTTCAAAAATACAATACCAACACCCTATACAAATTCCAAAACATTTCAAGCATTACAAGATTATCATTAGCATATCAACAGTTGAGCAAGCACACCTGATGTGCTTACTTTGAGCACAAATAATGTTAGGTATGCAAACAATTCAACTTGAATTTTACATTTTCTGAGGAAACAAAACTGGCCCATCATTGCAAATCCAATATCAAGGTATTCAGAGTGGTTTCTATGGCGTTGCAAGGCATTGTGTTTGATAGTGTGTTGCCAGGTTGTTGTTAAGGTGCTCTGGGTAGTTTTTAGAACATTGTTTGGGTGTTGCTAATGTGTTCTGAGTGATAACTGAGGTGTTGCTAAGTGGTTGCTAAGGTGTTCTTAGTGCTTTCCAGGGGGTTGCTAGGTTGTTGGTAAAATATTCTGGGTGAAGCCAGGTTGTTACTGTTGATGAAGATGATGATTATCCAATTACTCTGTCTTGTTTAACGTCTGTTTTGCTTAGTGGTGGTATCTTTATGTACTAAGGTCCTCCAAGTCGTTTGAAATTGCTAGGGTGTTGCTAAAGTATTCTGAGTGGTAACTAGGGTGTTGCTAGGCTGTTCTGGGTGGTCTCTAGGCCATTGCTAGGGGTGTTTGCTAAGGTGTTATGAGTAGTGGGTATGATGTTGCTAAAGAGTACACAAATACATTTATAGGGTGTTGCTAATGTATTCTAAGTGGTGACTAGGGTGTTGCTAGGCTATTCTGGGTGGTCTCTAGGCCATTGCTAGGGTGTTGGCTACGGTGTTATGAGTAGTGGCTATGGTGTTGCTATAGACAGTGTACACAAAGACATTTCTAGGGTGTTGGTAAGGTATTCTGAGTGGTGACTAAGGTGTTGCTAGGCTGTTCTAGGTGGTCTCTAGGCCATTGCTAGGGTGTTGGCAAAGGTGTTATGAGTAGTGGCTATGGAGTTGCTATAGACAGTGTACGCAAAGACATTTCTAGGGTGTTGGTAAGGTATTCTAAGTGGTGACTAGGGTGTTGCTAGGCTGTTCTGGGTGGTCTCTAGGCCATTTCTAGGGTGTTGGCTACGGTGTTATGAGTAGTGGCTATGGTGTTGCTATAGACAGTGTACACAAAGACATTTCTAGGGTGTTGGTAAGGTATTCTGAGTGGTGACAAAGGTGTTGCTAGGCTGTTCTGGGTGGTATCTAGGCCATTGCTAGGGTGTTGCTAAGGTATTCTTGGTGGTGACTAGGGTGTTGCTAGGCTGTTCTGGGTGGTTTCTAGACCACTGTTAGGGTGTTTGCTAAGGTGTAATGAGTAGTTGCTATGGTGTTGCTATAGACAGTTTATGCAAAGATATTTCTAGTGTTGCTAAGGTATTATAAGTGTTGACCAGGGTGTTACTAGGCTGTTCTGGATGGTCTCGATACCATTGATAGGGTGTTTGCTAAGGTGTTATGAGAAGTGGCTATGGTGTCGCTATAGACAGTGTACACAAATAAGTATAATCATTGCTGGCTAAGGTGTTATGAGTAGTTGCTATGGTGTTCCTATAGACAGTTTATGCAAAGATATTTCTAGTGTGTTGCTAAGGTATTCTAAGTGTTTACCAGGGTGTTACTAGGCTGTTCTGGGTGGTCTCAATACCATTGCTATGGTGTTTGCTAGTGGCTATGGTGTTGCTATAGACAGTATACTTAAAAGGCATTTCTAGGGTGTTGCTAAGATGTTCTGAGTAAACGCTAGGGCTTTGGTAGAGCTTTCAGGGTGGTTGCTAGGCTGTTGCTAGGTACTATTCTAAAAGATTTTTTTTTTCTGGTTGGATGATTAAACAGATGAAAAACTCACGGTAACATTTCAGGAAGGACCACAGTTGTATCTAACGACCAAAATATCACAGCCACATAGTCCTCAACTAAACTCTGCAGGAAAGTGGACCTCAAGAGCCAGAGTTGAGAAACCCTGCACTAGAAACACCCTATTAACCACCTAGTTCACCATGTTTATGGGATTTATATGTGCTTAATGCATGCCTTTGTTATGAAGAAGCAGTGAGAAATTTGAATGAAGCCTTTTAAAAGCAAGTCTGACCTTGGCTGTTTGAGAGCGAGGGTGCGTCTCCTTTCTAGATCTCTGTTTTTGAAGGGGGAGAACGTGTGTATAACCCCAAACCTCTCACCGGTACTCGCAAATGGAAAAGAAAGTATATCCACAGTCTCTGGAAAGGCATGAATGAATGAATAAATGATGCAACAGAACTTAGAAGTATAATCTGCTATCTATGCGCCTGGTAAATCATGACAGTACAGTATCTTCAAACAACCTAAACTAGTTCTCTCATTATTTTTCTCACCATCATGTCATTCTTTTTTTTTCCCAGTGGAACAGAGTGACAAAGTGGTCTTTCAAACTCAATAAAAAAAAGTCCATGTTCAGACTTGTGTGGGGAACAGACCAAATTTAATTTGTTGATTTGAAATCTAGTTCTCCATCTTATTTATTCAAACTGGCATAGTGTGTTCGAATACAACATACACAAGAACCAATGGAGATTTGGTGTCATTGATAACACATCTAGTGTGATATTTTGGAATTGTATATGATCTTTAATAAAATGTGGTAACACTTTAGAATACTGTTCCATCATTAATTAATAACTACACCGGAACAAATGAGTAACACACTATTAACACTCTAGTAACTACTATTAAGAAACTCTAAGTAAGTAATTGTGCTCAGTCAAATGAAGTAGTTCACTATTAGCTAATCAATCCCTAGAGGACTATTAAGAACTACTATATACAGGTTAATAATTAATGAGAGTAATGCACAATGTATTAATTCTAAAGTGAAGATCATGGTATCCCACTAGTAATGACTCAAGTATTACCAAATCCTTTATAACTAATAACTAGTTATTTTGAAGAGTATTCTAGAGTGAAAAGCATGATAACTCCCTAATATTAACTGATGTCACTGTAAGCTTTCGATGTTTTGTAAGGTTTTTGGGAATGACTCAAGTGTTTCTCCTTCATTCTAAAGGAACCACCAAAACCCCACTGTTACCAAATCTATCAGAAGGAATTACTATCCAAACCTTAACAAAAACCTCAAAAGTGTACAATGAATTCAGTCATTACTAGAAAGTTATCATGCTTTTCACTTTAGAATACTGATCCAAATAATGATTTGGTAATACTTGAAGCATTACTAGTAGGTTACTACTATGATCTTCACTTTAGAATTAATGGTAACACTTTACTTGAAGGGGTGTTCATAAGACTGACATGACACCTTCATAATCATAACATGACGCATGTCATGAATATGAAGGAGGGTTTATGCATGTTTATGACAACTGCCATTAAGTGTCATTCGCTTAATTATGACATTTTTAATGCAAATATGGCATTGTTTGAGATGTCTTGGTAATGACAACTTGACATAAACCAATACATCATAACCTGTCAGTGTCTTTGTCATGACAACTTGACATTACTAAGACAACACAACCTGTCATAAATATGTCATAAACATGACATAGCAGATTAATGATCAAACTTAAGAAACCACTTAGCTTTATGGGTTAACATTACATTAAACTGTCAGGTGGCTGGTTTTGACATTGGCTGTAATGAGGCCATTATAACCTTTTAATGACAAATTCAATTTGTACCACTGTAGTCGAGGTCAAGAAAAATATTCATAATATTGGAAAAATATTGGTTACTTAAGTTTGATAATTAATCTGCTATGTCATGTTTATGACATATTTATGACAGGTTATGTTGTCCTAGTAATGTCAAATTGTCATTACCAAGACACTGACAGGTTATGATGTATTGGTTTATGTCAAGGTGTCATAACTAAAACATCTCAAACAATGTCATATTTGCATTAAAAATGTCATAATTGAGCGAATGACACTTAATGACAGTTATTATAAACATGCATAAACCCTCCTTCATATTCATGACATGTTATGATTATGAAAGTGTCATGTCAGTCTTATGCACACCCCTTCAAGTAAAGTGTTACTGAATTAATTATACATTTTGCACTATCCGCATTAATTATGAACCTGAATATATTAGTTCTTAGTCGTCTTGAAAGTATGAAAAAATAGTAGTTACTGATTAGCTACTAGTGAACTGCCACATTCAACTGAGCATGATTACCTACTAACTCGTTAATCAGAGTTTCTTGTTAGTTAATAACAGCTATTAGAATGGTAGTGCATTACTATTTTTTCCTGTGTAGTTACTCAATAATGACAGAACATTATTCTCAAGTGTTACCATAAGTGTTCCATGAGGAAAAATACTACAACATGTGGGTTTGGAATAACATGAGGGTAAATCATCACATTCCAGGCATTCTGAGTGGCCAGTCTGATTGGTTCCCACCTGACTCATGTGGACATTTTCTCACAGTATCTTTGGTCAGCTGCCACATCAGCCACGCACCCCATGACACCGATCCTGTCTGTGGATATGCTGGACGTTGAGATGTTGGCAGTGTCCTCACAGACGTAGATGTCCTCACGAGGGATCGGTCATATCCTTCAGTATGGTTTCCACCAAGTTCCTCTTGGTCCAGATGAAGCATCCAGGCCCTCAGCACCACATCACTGACAGACATGTCTCTCCGGTACAGCACAGCTGGAGGAAACACCAGAGGAACCTTTCTGCTCCGGGGCTTTCCAAACCTCTTATGGTTAGTCCAGGACCTTCTGTAAACGATCACTCCTGTCCTTGTTGGGGTGGAAATAACTATTTCGACAGCGATTCGGCAGGCAGCAGAGCAGTTATACTGGACCTGTACACTGCATTTGTCCATCACTGTGTCAGGAGCTTGTCCAAACTGCACAAAGTCTTCAAGACGAGTCCTATCAGTGTCAGGAGACCCGCACCAAACCTTCAGAGAGACAGATTGACCCACACTTCACGTCTCAAGTATGAAAAATTAGATGCTTATCAAACTTTTTTTTTTTTTTTTTGCTGGATTTTGTATGGAATGACAATTCAGATCACATATTGGCTTGATACTCGGCTGAAATGTCAGGATCATATTTGACCCCCAAACAAACAAATTAATACATTTGCATAAAGAAAATGCTTATTTTGGGATCCTTTCTTTCTTTCTTTTGGCATTGTGGTATTTTATTTGTATATATTTAATTAAGCAAACAATATCCACTCCTGAAAATAAAGATTCCAACAGGGGATTTTTCTCAGCAATGCCACAGAATAACCATTTTTGGTTCTCCAGAGAAAATTTCAGTCAACAATTCTGACCAGTTCTTGACCACCTCGTGTTTTTATTATACTGTGAGGAACATTATCAAAATAAAGAATCTTTTTTTCCTCTATAAATAACCTTTTGAGGAATGGAAAGGTTTGTTGGACGATGCCATCTTTGCCAATAAACAAGCTCTGTTTACTTAGAAAATCATCCTATCCATTGTCTTCCATTTTGTTATCATTTGTAGCATTATAGAGATTTCCCCACAGTAGGCTACTGATAAATGGGAAGATGTGCTTAATGTCACAGTAAAAAATGATAGTAAGCAACAGATGTCATTATCTTTAAGCAAAATATATAATTTATTCTCTTTGTACTGGATTACAAGATGGGTAACATCTCATATCATGTACAATAGTATTTACACTCCAAGTAACTTCAGAGAATAGGCCTAATGTAAAACTACCATGTAGTCTACATATTGTTATGATGCCACCACGTCAAAATATGGTAAGATCATGGTACTTTATGTAGCTTAACATTACAAACAAATCGCTTATTTCTTTAGATACATACAGGCAAAAAGAAAACAAAAAAAGTCAATGATTCGCGATTTTAAAGGGATAGATGTTTTAAAGACGAAAATGAAACTCGAGCAAACTATGAAAGTTGCATAGAAGTGAAAATAAAGTTGAAAGTCTTACCGGTGAGAGCAGAAGAGCTGTGCAGATGAAACTCAACACAACTCTCATCTTCACTGTCTAATGAACGCGACGCGCGATGTGTCGAAGCGATCTAATACAACATTCACAGGTGAGTATAACGCGAAAGCTGTGGCTGTTTACTGTCACGACATGTTTCTGCGTATCGCGCTCTTCCGTGTGTGAGCATGATGACACCTGTTGTTGTGTGTGTGTCACTGTACACACACACACACACACACACACACTCGTTATGCGTGGACGCGCCTCATCTGCACTACTGACAGTTCAGAACGCCAAGTCATTGATTTTACTTTTACAATAAATGCTAAACCTTATCACCATGAAAGTGTTGTTCGTCCATATCCCAGGAGGTCAAACTAAATGTTATAGGCTACTATTTTCTTTTCATTTTCTAAAAAGATCTCTGAAATAAAGTGAACATAAAGGTCACACTTTAGATTATGATACAGTTCTCACTATTAAAGGGTTGGTTAGTTCATCCAAAAATTAAAATTATGCCATAACCTTCAAGTAATCTTAGGTGTATATGACTTTCTTCTTTCAGACAAACACAATCAGAGTTATATTAAAACATATCCTGGCTCTTTCCAGCTTTATAATGGGAGTGAATAGAGCCTGAGATTAAAAAAAAAAAAAAAAAAAAAACATCCATCATAAAAGTACTCCAGGGGTTACCCAGATAGCACAAGTCTATTTGATGTTATATTTACATCTGGAAGACGTATTTTTAAGAGTGTTTGCTCATCTGCAAGACGTCTATAGGACGTTTCCTGTCAGATGTCAAATAGACGTTTAGAAGATGTCAGTTTAACATGCATTCTAAATCATTACATCTTAAAGACATCTTCTAAACGTCTATTTGACATCTGACAGGAAACGTCCTATAGACGTCTTGCAGATGAGCAAACACTCTTAAAAATACGTCTTCCAGATGTAAATATAACATCAAACATCAAAAAAGACTTGTGCCATCTAATAAATGCCTTCTGAAGTGAAGCCATGCGTTTTTGTGAGAAAAAAATTCTAGATTTATATCTTTATAAACAGGGTTTGAAATTAACTTTGTCACTCACCGGCCATTTGGCTACTACATTTTTAAGTTACCGGCCATTCAGAACTTAGCCAAACATAAATAAATAAATAAACCAGATCCACATTTAAACTGGATCAAAAAAGTTAATCAAAGTTGTCCTAAGTTCAAGAATGAGTATTGTTCAAAATTCATGTATAACTTTGATGAAAGGTTTTGATCCACTATAGCCTATATATATATATATATATATATATATATATATATATATATATATATATATATATATATATATATATATATAATAAATATATTATTTTCATATATTAATTTCTTATTAAAAAAAATCCTGTCATCCAGCCGTCTCCTCCTCCGGAGATCCCTTCCTCTTTCATCCTCGTCCTTTTCACCAAAAATGTGTTTTAGGTGGACAGATCAATACAGAACAATGAGCTACAAAAATGTAGGATGCATGTTGGGAAAATAACAATGTCTTATCTGTAAACCAAATGCTTTTTAATCCTCGCTTTTGCTTGAATCCAAATGAATAAGCGCGCCGTTATTATAATATAAACAACGAGTAAACAATGAGTAACCCGTCAAATTGGCTAGTGATTGTGTTAATTTCAAACTCTGTTTATAAACTATAATCCCTGGCTTCCAGTAACAGCCGTACGCGAGTCTGGTTCTGGCGCAAGAGTGACTTCTGACCCGACGCATGACGTAGGATGTAGGAGTAGCGTAAGCTAAGTGAAAGTAGACGCCTCCTTTCGGTTATATAAAGTTATAACTATTGATATTTTTCTTACAAAAACGCATGGCTTCGCTTCAGAAGGCCTTTATTAACCCCCTGGAGTCGTATGGATCGCTTTTTATGAAGGATGGATGCACTTTTTGGGGTTTCTAAAACTCAGTTACTCCTCACAATAATAAAGCTTGGAAGAGCCAGGAAATGTCTTCTGATTGTGTTTGGCTGAAAGAAGAGTCATAGGCCTATACATGTAGGATGGCTTGAGCGTGAGTAAATTACGGGATAGTTTTTGGGTAAACTAACCCTTAAACTAACTATTAACTACGACTTTGGCCTCAATAAACTCCTAATTACTGCTTATTAATAGTTAGTAAGGTAGTTGTTAAATTTAGGAATTGGGTGGATTAAGGGATGTAGAATATGATCATGCAGAATAAGGAATATAATAAACAGCCAATATCTTAGTAATATGCATGCTAATAGTGAGAATTAAACTAAATTAAATAAAGAACATTTATAATCCACAAATGTCCTGTTTCCAAACTACACAGCACACCAGCACAAAACTGACATGCTTTGGAAATGAAATTTCATGGCGTGTATCGTCAAGCTTGGGTTGAAAGGCTTACTTTGGCATTTTCATGCGTGTCTGGTTGAGTCAGTCACAGAATGCCGCTTATATAAGGAGGATCGTCTGAACTGTTACAGATGCACTGCAGCACCAGTTGTTTAAGACTGATCTTTGAATGCAGACATTAAATGGACTGAGACCTGGCACTTATTGCTTTTGCTCTTCCATATGAGTAAATTCTGAATATGAAGTGAGTCGAGCAGCGGTCGGCATGTTTCAACAGCCTATCATCACCAAAAGAAGATATAAACACCAAAAATGCTAAGGTGAATCCAATGCTGAGGTAAACCAGGACTTCTTTACCAACAAACAGACTAAAATGACCCCGTGGGAACGATATAATACAAATGAGGAGACAATATTGACGAAATAACGAAAAAAATCCAGGTAAAGTGCCTGAAAAACTTCACAGCCCATATATGATATGTTTTTGCAGTTTCTGTCATACAGTGTAATAATTGACAGCGTTACAATTTATTGTTTTCCTACACAATAGTTTATGGCTTTGCAAGATGTATGCGGCTTGCAGAACCCCCCTCTGTTCCCTGAATGGAGCGCTCCACTCTCACAGTCCTTCATGCCGGAGGAGTCCACTCATCTGTTCGGAAGGGGTGTTCAGCACGGAGACGCTTTCTCTACACGGCTGCCTGGGAGGGGCGCTTTGAGTCCTCTGGAATTTTACATGCCGATATCCGAATACCTCACACAGAGCCCAATAAACTTTGGTCAAATTAGCCTCGCTTCGGCGCCGAAAAACCTTCTGAATGACCATGTCCACCCCTCGTTGCCGTCCATCTCTCTTCCATCACCCACACCCTACTCCATATCTCCCTCCGTTCCTCTACCGTTCACTCTCTCTCACGGTACCACAACTCTCGGCTTCGCGTTTCAGGGAGGTGTTATCGCGGCTGCCGACACGCGCTCCAGCTGCTCGGGACAGGTGGCCTGTCCCAATGCGCCGAAGGTCCTGCCCATACACTCTCACCTGGTGGGCACCACCTCTGGGACCTCGGCGGATTGCGCGCTCTGGAAGCGCATCTTGTCTCGAGAGCTCAGGCTGTACCAGCTCCGACACCACCGCAGGCTGTCAACAGGGGGCGCCGCAAAACTGCTGTCCCACATGCTGCATCCTTTCAAAGGCACCGAGCTGTGCGTCGCAGCCACTCTGTGCGGATGGGATGGGGATGGCGAGAAAGATGAGAGTTACGCAAAAATTATGCCAATCACAGTAAGCGATTCAAGTAGCCAATCAGCAGCAGTTTGTAAATCTAAATCTCAACAGGTGGTCCAAGCTCGTTCTAGGACGTGTGGCCCTCGGGTTGTGTATGTGTGCAGTGACGGGCTGCGCCTGCAGGGGGAGCTGTTCTCTGTGGGATCGGGCTCTCCATACGCGTACTCGATCCTGGACAGCGGCGTGCACTGGGGCATGAGCGCGCAGGAGGCCGCGTGCGTCGCGCGCGAGGCCGTGTACCGCGCCACGCACAGAGACGCGTACTCGGGCAATAACGTGGATCTCTACCATGTGACCGCAGAAGGGTGGAGGCGCAGAGAGAGGGAGAACCTCAAAGAGGAGTATTACAGAGAGAAAGAGAGGGAGAGAAAGAGGGTGGCGGAGAGACAAACTGAAAAGAAAGGAGTTTAAGGAGAAACATGAGGCAGATTTTTTTGAAAACATTGATTTTGAAAGTGTTTTTTATAGCAAAGCAAATGAATAAAAAGATGCAAAGACAAACATGTGTCGATAATTCATTTTAGATTTATAGTTCTTGCTGTTTCACACTGTGTATGAGCTTTCTTAAAGAAATGGTGCAGGCAAAACTGAACAGTGTTGTATTTTCTGAGGAACACATCACATAAAGAGGTGTTTAGCAGAACGTCTATGAGTTGAATGAAATATTATTTTTGTACTTTTATTAGTTAAATAATTTTGCTGAATGCCAGAAGCTCCATCAGCCCTCTTTCTTTGATTCTATCTTGCCTTAGGATACAAATCTCATTTTGTTTTTTAAAAAAAGAGGGAAAAATGAACCTATGGGTTTTGAATAATATAAATGATTACTCAGATTTTTTTTTTTATTGTTAATTTTTGAGTGAACAAACTGTGTTTGAACAACCCATTTTTTTGACCACTTCTATTTCAATGACTGATGAAGAATGATGTGCCACCACAAAAAAAGTAATACATAAATGAATTCAATTATTATTATTTTTTACCCATGCATGTCACCTTGTATTCTAATAAATAAGGTTGCTATGACACCAACATTTTACATACCAGTGAAAATTCATAATTCCAATTGTGATACCACAGCAAAAACGACTAGCCTAACTAATATAATTTCAAACAAATAAAAAGGTATTAATAAGATAAAATCAAATAAACAAATGACAAGCAATAGCACAAATACACATAATGGAACAAAGATACAAAATAATTAACAGTGCTTCAAGTTTTTCAGGTAATAGTATACTCATGTAAAATTCAGACATATCTGTCAGAAAACAACAAATAACACGATGTAACACTTTTAGGTAACTGGTGTTTAATGAACCACAAACTATAAGTGGAGTGACCCCTACAGGATGCAGGAGGGATTGCTGTTTTTTTATTAATGTTTGCCGAAAATCTCTGCCAGACTCAGTACATTATTGTATTAATCTCCCCCATAACTCATCCTTCGCTTTAGAAGTTCACTTTTCAATTCTTTCATTGATTTGCATTCTATATATCAGCCAAAAATATATATAATATATAGGCCTAATATGTTTTATATGATGTTGTAAAAATTAAGCATTTGGTCATTTTTGGTAAGTGCCAAGTGCATAAATGTTTCTGTGGAAGACGTTTTGATATGTTTATACTGTGATACTGTAATACTTTCTGAATGCGCACAGTAATTATTTTAGTAGTTTCACTACAAAACAAATGTTTTCACAAGAATCACATTCACTTAATACGTATGAGTATACTTCCTGGTTATTGTCACTGATGACAACAGTGCACGGAAATGTCCTTGTATGGTTGGTTCACTGACAGCAGGTCAGTGTTACGTTTATATGAAGCAGCTTGATTAAGCAGTTCTGCCAGCGTATGCAGTGAAGGCACATTCAGCATGAGGAGGAGGAGGAGGTGTGTGTCTCAGTCTCAGGTGTGTGAGGGAATGCATGTGTTGGCACAGTCAAAGAGGAATACACATCACAACAACAGGTAAAGAGGGAAAGTCAGACATCCAGAAGATCAGGTCAGTGCATGTTTGCTTTTCTAAATAGTAGTAATGTAACATTGGTAACATCTGGGATGCTTTCGTCTCTTGTTGATAATGTAAGAACCAGGTAAATCAAACAGGTAACACTTTATTTTTTGTGTCCTCACTTTATTCAGTGTCCTTGTGACATGTATTTACTATATTAATAACTATAAATTATACACAATTATGCAACTTACCCTAAACCAAACCCTAACCTAAGTAGGCTACATGTTAATTATTATTAATCGGTAGCCTTCTTATATAATTACACTGTAACAGGGACACAACATAAAGTGTAACCAAAATACAAGATACAATATTTGTTTAGATCAAAAGAAGAAAAATGTGCATGGGCTTTTCACATCATCCATATGCTGTGTCATCTCTGCCATATTGAACTGACGCTTTCTATAATGTTCTAGAATCATCGTCAGGCTTCTAGAACCATCCTGAAGAGGAATGCCCCCTGGTTACATATCCGGGCAAACCGTATCACTGTGGGTGAGTAAATCAGTCTTATTAATATCTAAATTAATTTCAAAGTGTTAAATACTGTAAAAACAACATTGTAACACACCACGAAAAAATGTGACTAATTATGACGTGCCGGATTTGTATGAATATTTAGAAGAAGAAAAAAATCCTAAGGTCCACCCTATAAACCTGTTAGTGCTGAGGAGTAAGATTGTACAGAAATGTCTGAATGAGATTCATACAAATAAGCCACCAATCCACCAAACATAATTCAACTGTATGATGAGAGTGCGTTGACAATGCAGAACTATTACCAGTTTTACTCTTATATTCAAAGACTTAATCATTCCAATAGTTAATAAACTGGAACTGGAATTTTCCAGTTGAAGTGTAACATAAAGAACATATCATGGAAAATACGAGAATGTTAGAATTAAATTAAATTCAAATGATTAATTTTGGTGTTTAAGGTCTGATATGTTTTTTTTTCTTCCCCCACCAGATTATTGTATCCTCCTGCTAAACAAAGCCGGCCAGCTATCTTGGTGACCTTAAATGACACATGATGTTTTGGGTTTTCATATTATCCAACATGCTACACTGTCAAACTGATGTAACTGCTAAAACCAGATTGTCCTATTGACAGAGCAACAGCCCATTTAAAACCAGTTTTTATCTACAGGAATTCACATCGATTTGAACAACAGAAAGTAAAATAATTTATAGGCATACTGATTTTAGAAAAGTATTAATATAATTTATTATTATTAAAGATAATTTAAACATTTTCACTTCAGAAAATAACATAAACACTAGACACTGAAACTGTTTTTGACGGAGTGCGTCAAGATTTTGAGCGTGTTGTTTACTAGCCCCGCTTGCTAACTGTTTACCAAGCGGCTAACAATCCCACTAACATTACTATCATAATAATTATGCATTAAAATATAGTGTTTAGAAAACAGCAAGCATTCAAATTCATATGCATTGTCTTCATATTTTAAGCTAGTTATAACCAAATAATAAGTTTTGGCGGTCTTCGAGTCTGTTAGCATATGCTAATAGTCAGTCAGCAGCACCACCGACTGCTATTGGGCTCTGAATATGAAATTCAACTTAAGGGGAAGCACAAACGACTGAAACACATGAAATTCAGCATAAAATATTAACGATCGTATTCAATATTGCACAACTATAGCATAACTAGCATAGAGAGCAACGTGTATCTACCAGGATGGCCGAGTGGTTAAGGCGTTGGACTTAAGATCCAATGGACATATGTCCGCGTGGGTTCGAACCCCACTCCTGGTAATGACTTTTGATTCTCATCTTTATCGTATTAGAATCGAAAATAAACGTGCACAACTGCCGTACAGATAATGTTAAAACGGAAAGCGCAAGCTGTACGGAAAAATAAAATGAAAAATAGATCGGACGCGGATCATGAAATGCTATGCTGTCGGCATTCACGAGTTTTGATCCCCCTCTCTCTGGATGGACGGAGGAGAGGAACACCGACCACTGTTGTGTTGACCCGCAGCAGGGCATGTCCGTAAAGTGGAGCTCACTTGCCATATGAACAAATAAGTCAACAATCAAAATCGACATGATGTTGAATGGGTGGTCTGATACTGCCTCCTATTGGTAATTCAAAACTAACTTCTGCTAAATAAATTAATAAAATAATACAATATTTAATGACCTTCAAACAAGGCTAAAGTTCAGCTAAACACACGTTATAAAAAAAAAAGTCAGATGTAATTTACAAGAATGAATACTTCCATAATGATTATTTTAATGGATTGGAAATGCACGCTTCCTATCTAAATATATTAAAGTAACAACAGGTCGTTTTTTGCTCTCGGGCTCCCCCTACAGTTGGGAAACAGTATTGTCCTCTACTACTGTCGTAAACTCTGTCATCCTACATGCACGTGCAATTGTTGACAACCAGGATAGCCCTGAACACTGTAGGAGGAGGTCACATGCAGGTGTTCTGCTTGCGTCGCGTGTGAAATGTCTTCATCCCAGGTACAGTGGCATATATTTCAGCATGTCATATGAATATAATTTCATGGGTTTTATTTTTTTTCTAACGACAAATGATCGCGATGCTCACGTTTACAAGCCAGCGTCATTATAGTAGCCTAGTCTATTGGTTACCGTTTTACTGGATCTATATGATACTTCAATGCAATGTTTGAGTGGTTGATAATAACCATATATCGTCAATATTATAATATCAAGCTACCATAAATGAATCTGCAAATTTTACAAATCGATTTGCATTATAGCTTGAGGCAAGACAAATAAACAAATATCACAGACATGTTAGGTATCCTAAAATATGATTTTATTAATAATCTTCCTCCTTTCTTTGTACATGTTGAGTAGACTACACTTTTTAGGTCAAACATTTGCTATTTGCATTTCATCGATTGCAAAGTTCAAATCAGAACGAGAATACTAGCGATAGCTAACCATCAAAAACTAGAATATCGTTTACTAGCTACCAGATTGATAATTCGCTACTACTCTAGCGAATTAGAGAGGTTAGAGAGAGGCATTCTTTTTTCGATGGGGGGTTCGATGCTCCCTGCACACGCAAGGTCTCTCGCTCGCTTTCTCTCTCTGCCGTCCGCGCGCGTTGGAGCACAGTCTCTGTCTCGCGTGCGCGCTCGCTCTAGATTCCGGGAGATTTGAACTAATTTGCGGTATAACTTGTCGATCACGAGTGGCTCAACAGGTAGATCTATAGATAAACTCATCTTTCAGGGATTTGACCGACCGGGTTGACAATTTAGCGTGAGAAACCGGGGGTGTGGCGTACGTGTGAGCGTGTGAAACCAATTAAATGCGGGTGTCTCACGACCAATGCGTGAGAGTTGGCAGCTCTGCAATGTTGATCCTCGTTCTGCCTTTAACGCGATCACTTTCTCTTTTTCTCTTTTTGCTTTGC